TTGGTTGACACTGAGCTGAAGACAACAGAGCTCAACTAATCTGATCGATAATTCTCGATCTCAACAATTGAATTTTGATCGTTTGGAATCTATTTTTCAGTAGTTAGAGTTGGACCCTTTTTTGTTCAGACTTGGTTTTTTTGTATGCTCTTATCTATTCTTTCATGTCTCTCCATAAAAGTGCGGTTTCTTAAAATCTTGATTTCCAGACGTTATGCATCCTATTTGAACATTTGTAAAGCTTCCTGCCTGGGATAGTATTTTCCGTCTCTGCATGTTTGTTTCTTCCCTGCTACTAAAATCAGATCTCGGACTTGAGGACCCAAATTCTTATTTATACTTCTATTAATTATTATGATTGAATGGTGTCTGATCAACTGCCCACCGTTCTACCTATCGTATATATGTTTGGAACTCCTAATTGGAGATTTGTGTGGTAGCGTTTCCCCCTGACCATGAACTACTTCATGTATGATCTGATGAGCAGTTTCTTTTCACAATGTGCTTCTGATGTAATGTTCATAACCTCTTTTGCATAAATTGCGATTCTGACGTTGGTTCTTTTTCTGTTTGAAACAGTATGGGCTGGATACTTCCGAGTTCACATACAACCCATCTGAGTCTCACAGGTTTCAGCAAGTTGCCCAACAACCAGCAGAAGAAAAGAGCCGCTGCACCATCATGTGATCAGTATGTCTTGTATTATTTGTTTCTTACTCTACTTTAGCGTTTTAGCGGGTCGAATGCTTGTTCCACTTGTGTATAACCAAGAGGTTGTTCTGGAGGCTGTACTTGTGTAACCTAAACTTTTCAGAAAAAGAAATTTGTAACTATTTGTTGTGTGAAACCGTTCCTCTACATTTGGATTTCCTTTTTGTTCTAGACGGATGGGTCAGCACAGGACCAAGGAAAATGATTGTAAGCTCCATCTCACTTGGGAAAAGACTACTTGCTGGAAGTTGCTTTTAATTGTGAGTTCAATCCAAGTAAATATGCAATGTTATTCTGTGTCATGCTCGGTCTCCGCCCTCCTCAAGTCCTCTCGACTTCACGAGACGTCCTTATATTTATTCAATATCTGCTAGCATTTTCATTATCTTTTAGCCCTGTTTTTGGAGCTTTGTTTCTAGTTTATTCTGTGTACAAAGAATGAAGACTTCATGTGAGATCCCACGTCGATTGGAGAGGGGAACAAAGCATTCCTTATAAGGGTGTGGAAACCTCTCCCGAGCAGACATGTTTTAAAAATCGTGACGCTGATGGCAATACGTAACAGGCCAAAATGCACATTATCTGCTGGCGGTAAGCTTGGCCTGATACCCTTCCAACCACTTTTTTCTTGAGCTATTTACAAGACAGCCGTTTGAAGGCGTTTCAGCTAGGGTTTTGGGATATGAGTTTGATTGATTGATATTACGAATTTGCTTATCTCATACTATTAGTTTTGACTTCTGAAAGTTACGTTTGTTTGATATATATATTTTTAAACCATTGGCTTTGACTACTGTTTTGTTGAGAAATTCAGCATTAATTAGTCAATGCAGTTGCTTGAAAACAATTCCCCCTTTTTCTTTCTTGTTTACAAAAAAACATTGGATCAATGGCTTGATCAAGATCAGCTTACATTCTTCTTATGGTAAGATGGGATTGCTTGAAAAGAATGATGTACAAAAGCCTCCAAAAGAGGTTGAGTTGGGTAGAGTTGGTGCATCAACTTTGATCAAAATCTTCAAATGGGAATATCTTGAGGTAAAAAGTGGATTCCATTTGCTATAAAGAAAACTGGTAGGGATTGTTCCTTTGCCTTTCATTCTTTGTCTATACATTCAATATGGATATTCTTAAGATATTGGTGTTTGTAATATTTGGTGTGTTTTTGTATGGAATTGAAAGCTTAGGCGATGATGGACTTTTGGTTTTTGACTACTACAAAGAAACATGCCCCTTTGTTGAAGATATTATCCGACGACAAGTCGAGATTGCCGTGCTCAAAGATCCTCGAATGGCTGCTTCACTCCTTCGCTTGCATTTCCATGATTGTTTTGTTATGGTACGTCTATTTCTCACTTGCCTTTTGACAATCTGTAGTCCCTCGACGTAACATTATAATCTAAAATCTTCATTGATATAATAGGGATGTGATGCATCAATTCTTCTAGATAGTAATGATGAGATGGTGAGCGAAAAACAAGCGGCTCCAAATTTGAACTCCCTTCGTGGTTTCGATGTTATTGATGAGATAAAATACATATTGGAAGATGCTTGTCCTTACACTGTGTCTTGTGCTGATATCTTAACCATTGCTGCTCGTGATGCTGTTGAGCTCGTACTAATCTCTCTTTTCTGTTGACTTTTTATTTTATTTTCTTTCGATATATGTCATTTTTTCTCGTGACGTTAATATCTTTTTAGTGTTGCGTAAGAGTATGGAACTAAGTTGAATTATTGTATTGTTGTTTGAGAAGAGAGGAGGACCTGGATGGCAAGTGCTGTTGGGGAGGAAGGACTCTCTGAAAGCGAGCTTTGATGGAGCCAACAAATACATTCCTTCTCCCAATTCCTCTCTTGAGACCCTAATTGCCAATTTTCATGAACAGGGCCTTGATGTTTATGACTTAGTTGCCCTATCAGGTCAGTTACTTATATTGCTTCATGATCCTTATTATTGACGTTTAAATGCTACATTGGTGCGTGTATTTTCGATTTTTGTTCATTTTGGTCATTATAGCGTTAAAGGATTCAATTTAATTCACGTCTTTTTAAATTTGGTGCAATTTGATTTCTCTACTATTACGATGTTCATTTTGGTTCTTGTACTTTTTAAACGTTTTAATATGAACTTTTGAAAAAAAATTAAGGGACCAAATAGGTCATTTTTAAAAAATATGGGGACGAAGTGGACATTCTGAAAATATATGGACCAAAATAGAATTTCCTTTGTGCTTTTCAACTAAAATAGTCAAAATAGAATTTCCTTTGTGCTTTTCAACTAAAATAGTGTTCTAAAACCCGATTTAAACTTTTTTTTTTCTTTTCAAAACAAAAATATCAAAACATAAAACTTGTCTTGTTACACATAAATAACTCGTTATGTTGCACTTCTATTATAGTATAATATGTACGTGATAGAAATATTTAGTTAAATTACAAAAATACCCTTAAACTTTACGTTTTGTTTCAAATATTTTTAAAAGTTATTCCCTTCTATTACATTATATTACTAGAAATATTTGGCTAAATTATAAAAATACCCTTAACCTTTATGTTTTGTTTCAAACGTTTTAAAAAGTTTACCCTTTACTTTTTTAAACATTTCAAAACTATTTAAAAAGCTTTACCCTTTACTTTTTTAAACATTTCAAAACTATTTTAAGATAGAAATATGTTAGAATGTGAGATAAAAGTTAAATCTTATAAAGTTTAAACAGTGACTTGCAATTAATTTCTGCATTAGGTCACCACCACATCCTTCTAGAAACCATGACCAACATTCGAACCAAGTTTTACTAGTTTTAAAAACTTTACAAAGGGTCGTAAATAATATTACGACTTTCGAAACAAAACGTAAAAGTCATCTTTATTTACCCTAAAAGTGTCTTTTCCATACACTAATACCTACAATGGTCATTATGCAAAGGAAGCCACACCATAGGGAAAGCAAGATGCTTGAGCTTCAGGCAAAGAGCATACCAAACGAGCCCGGAAGAAGAATACGACAGATACGAGAGATACAACACTTACCGAAGAGTCCTGAGGTCCATATGCCCTGAAACAGGGCAAGACCAGAGGGTAGCGCCCTTAGACTTTAGGACACCGGCAAGGTTTGACAACCACTATTTCCTCAACATTCTTGAAGGGAAAGCCCTTTTGGGGTCCGACAATGTGCTCATAACCCAAGACCATGAAGGTGAGATCACAAGACAAGTTTGGAGCTATGCCTCTGACCAAACCCTTTTCTTTGCTTCCTTTGTTAAGTCCATTGTCAAGATGGGGAACATCAACGTCCTCACTGCCAATCTCGGTGAAGTCCGAACCAATTGTAGGTTTACCAATCACTAGCTTTTTCTTTATATTTTTTTTTTGGATCGAGTGCTCGTTTAATATGGAGTTTTATAGTAAGAGGTCTCGTGCTTCAAACCCTGTTATATTTTTTTTAGATCGAGCAGTGAATTAACACGATATCAAAGCTTAAACTTTTAGGTTATAATGTGTCAATACTTTAACAATACTATCGTAATTGATCAACTTACACTTTTGAATCGAATGTTGATACAAATATAGTATAATAACCAGAGATCTCGCGTTCTAAACCTAATATGTTTTTTTTAGATCGAGTAGTGATTTAACATGATATCTTAAACTTTTAGGTACAGTAAATTACAAACCTGTTCATCGTTAATGTATGTTTTGATCTTTCTTTTGAAGTTTATGGTAGGCAATATGTGTACCATGACAATCGCAAATTACACCGAGTACTAATAAAAAATGTTCAGTACGCATACCTTCAATTTATTTTTTATTTATATTCATCGGGCCGAGACAGACAATCATTTCTCATCTTGTCATCCTTCCTATTTCAATTTTTATGGTTATAAGATCTTTTTTTTAAATATATTTTTTAAAAATATAAGTCGGTTATAAATAATTTTTAATGGATAATTTTTATTTTCAATACAAAAAGCTCCTAATAAATTTAATAATGAGGCTCGGAGAGGTGGGAAGTTGGGCAAGGTCGGGTGCGAGAATGAGTACGAGGAATGTATTTGTTGTCTCTAATCACATTTAGCCAACGGGGAAAAATCTCTCTCTATAGTATTATCTGGGAAACTCAGGGGTATAATAGACATTTGACATTTCTAATTGTGACACGTGGCTAAAGTATTTGGAAAATAATAATAATAATAATAAAATGTGTTTTTCAATTATAAAATTTAAAAAATGGCTGAACAAAATTGGGCTTGGGCCCATGCGGTGAGTTTTTCACGGGCCGAGCGATCCAAGAAATAGTGAGTCTGCTTCTGAGGAAAGAAGCTTCGGGCGAGAGAGACGACCAACAATGGCGACCGCTTCCGCATCAGGTCGAAGCAACAGAGACGGTACGGCCAAAGGCATGGTGGCCGACCACATTTCTCAGTCAGTTCGATCCACTTCAAATCTCCTTCATCTGATGCAGCAATCTTCTTCGGCTCAGGCATGTTCTCTCTCTCTCTCTCTCTCTCTCTCTCTCGTTTGTGTTTTCTGAAGCTTTACGAGTTCATTCGAACGGCACTCTTAGGAGTAGGATCGGTAGAGCTGATGCCTGAATTTTTTTGATATATGTTTGTTTAGATTTCAGTTTCGTTCTATCTTGCGAGTTCTTAAGGAATATTGATTACGATCTTGAATCATATTAATAGATGGTTGAACTGCCAAACCGTAATTGTTCGTTTTAATAGATGATTCAACTGCCAAACCTTAATTGTTCGTTTTGTATCTTTTCCACTTTCTGGCTTCATTTAATTGGGAAATCACGTTATGTTTCGAAGAAATTTTATAATATTGTACAGAAACTTGACGGTGCAAGTGTTGTTTGCATCGAGGTCATAATTTCAGAAATCCCTACCATGTACATTGAATTGGAATTTACCACCGATTTTTCTCTTCACATTTTGTCTACGTGAGATGAATTCAACTGTCGGAAGCTTTAATCATATTGCTGACATGCAATTTTGTTTTTAGTTTCTTACGTTTTGCGTTGTTTTCAGTTGAGTTTGTCATATAGTTCATCTTGCCTGCAGGCTCAGTTAGCAAAATTGCCAAAGAACCTTTTGGCGAAAGCATCTACTATAAAAAATACTGAGAAAGTACGTTGAATCAATTAATGAACTGAACATGTTTTTATTCCGTTCATTTAATTTTAATTGAACTTCTTAGCAAAAACTTCTAATAGTACTTTCACTTCTCTTCTTGTGATGCAGATCTTAGAGCAGATGCCGCAAGTGGTTTCATCATTAGATGCATATGTTGAGAAGGGACTAGAAAGGTTATTGTTTTCCTTGAACATGCATTGGTGGAATTAATTCTATTTGCATATTCAAATGTACAAGATCATGCGTTATTTCTTTGTTGAAGAAACCCATAATTTCCTATAAATTTCATAACAATTGTTGAAGTACATGATTAAGTTCTTTGTTTTCCAGTGATATATTATAATCAACATCTTTAATACTAAAATTGATAAATTTATCAGGGATGAAGAATGCTCTCATTCTATTCTGTTTTAAGATTTTTCTGATGTACCACAAACTCCTAGAATGTTGAGATTCTGTTATGCAAACTAAACAACTTTGAAGCAAATTTTTTCTTGATATTTCCTCTCCAAACAAAATTTTCTTGATAATGAAGTTGCTGATGTGACCCGAAGAAATTAATATTGATGGATGACATCCTAATTTATCCATTAGGCACCTATTTCACTATATCGTATGGTTACTACTTTGTTCTTGCTATTTGGTGTATCTAGTAAAAACTGCTTCTACTCTTACTCGACCCTCACAAGAATAAATGTTCTATGTCGAATTTTAAGATAAACCCCTTATTTCTAAATATATAGTTTTACGTCTATGATCAATTTGGTTTCTGTCTTGGTTTATGGACTCCAAATGTTTGCAGCATTCCTCATTTGCAGACTGTTGTGCAACTACTTACAAACATGGAAAGCACCCAACTAAAATCTCTCTCCCAAATCCAACATCCTAAAGAGGTTCGATTCCTCCGACCCTTTTCCCCTTGGGATGAGGGGTTCTCTTGTTCTATAGAAGTTTGTTCACTCAATTTCTAATGTTTATCCTTTTCTATTCCAGGAAATCGAGTCTCTTCATCAACTGAAAGATGTGGACTAACAGTTCTGCCCTTCTAGAACGTGTCACCTACAGTGTAAATATAGGATCATAAGGGTAAGTGCCCCATCCTTTTTCCTTGTTGTCCTGTATGGTACTGCATGTCTGTGCCTCAATTTAATTTGTTTAACGCCATTCTCTTCATGTTGCAAAAATAGAGTAAATGGAATTAATGAATGGCACGTATCCTTATAACCTTCTTGTTTTTTTGGCTAAAGAGTATTAGATCCTTGTAAGAATTTGTTTTTTTTGTTTTTTTTTTTCTATCTTATCTACTTGTAGGATTTCGTTTTCTCATCTTGGATGCTTTTGTAAGAATTTATTGCCTTTGTGGCAAAACCTTATATGATCAGAACCATAATGATAACAAATTTGAATTAGTTACTGCATGTATATTGATGCTCTCACTGAATGTGAACTGTAACCCATTCTTTGTCACACTTGTTTTGTAAAGAATTCCTATGAATCGATTGATTCAATTCCGCGTGTCTTGTTTGTTAAATTGATGCTGTCATTCATTTACAATTTCTTGATATATCGTAAAGATTCGATATGGGGTTTTGTAATTTTGAAGCGTGTGTGATTATATCTTGGTTTTGGGGACTCGGGTTTCTAATTACATGATGTCTTGCTTTGTTTCGTATGAGAATCTGTTTAAGAATTTGCAAATGGATAGAATCAGGCGGGCGAATTTTCCATCTCCAAAGAAAACCAACCTGATCGCCTATCAAAAAAATGTCGAATTCCTCTTATGGGATTCGACTCTCACATGAAATTCAAAAGTTGGCGAAAGGTTTTTTCGATTCAAAGTTGTGGACTGTGAGGTATGATGAGAATTTGCAGAACAGGCTGTCTGAATTTGGTGGAGAGACCAAATGCTTCAAAATATGAAGATTGGGTTTTGGGATGGGGAGTTGGATTATGTAGAGATCCAACTCTGTCATCCTAGTAAATACATAGTGCTACTATAAACAACTTCCAGATGCTCGACCATCCGAACGTACTCTCTAAGCGGGACACTTAACGCGTTAGTGACCATTTTCAGGCATTGCTTTCCTCTCATTCTCAATGTAGAATCAATGAAACTTATGAAACCCAACTATTCAATCGGGAGCGATTTTAAGAGTTCATTGTTTGCTTAAGACCGTAGTTGGACTCACGAAACTCTGTTCTAATAATGCTCTTAAATTACTCTAATGGGCAAATCCTTTAATATCATTTGTAGTTATTACAAAGTTTTTAGTAGGTTTTTACACCCTTTTCACGTCTTCTAGATATGATTCTAAAACAAACATATTATTATTCATAAGTCCACTATTCTCTGAGTGTAAATCATATCATGATAAGCATTTACCCTAATCTTTTTCTTATCTTTTGCATGACATACCTGACGGTGACAGGGTATCACCGGTGAGACCATGGAAGAATTCAATTGCCCGGACTATTACTTCTACTTCTGCTGAACCTGATTCCATTGTAGGAACCTCTATTCCTTTCCCTTTTCTTGCTTGATTTCACTCTTTGACGATATTCTCTATTTATTCTTTTACGAGGTCTATAGAATAGGTGTTGTAACAGGTAGACCCATGATACGTACTAATAGATGTTCATACGTACTAATAGATGTTCATACTCTACCCGAAAGTCAGATATCTATAACTGAAGATGAATTAGACTGTAACTATAAGATTCAACTTAAGAAGAATTAGACGGAAAAGAAAGATCTGCTCCTAAACCTTAGGGTTCCCTAATGATATCAGAAAACAATCCCCCGTAACCTAAAATCATTCTATATCGGATTTCTTATTGGTTTTGTTGTCAAATCCTCGCCCCGGTGAGACCATGGAACATGTCAAGCCTACCGAAATAGGGTGTTTTGTACCGTTTCTTACGTTTGATCTCATTGGAGGCGTTTTCTTACGTTCATGTCATGTCTTGATATGATTTCATGGTGACAAGTAAGTCACTCTATTATCGATTTGGTTGGAAAAGGAAGGACGCCAGACTAATTCGATAAGGACTAAATCATTATACTCTTGAACGAGAAGAAACATAAAGCGAACGTTCATGAGTTTTATGAGCTTCGGGACCAAACAATTAATCATTGCATTCCAAATAATCTATTTCTCGACAACGAGGAAAAGAAAAGAGAAACGAAAAAGACAACGTGACAACGAAGAAGAATGAACCAAATAGCTCAATTTTGTCACTTCCCACAAAAACGTCTCCAAATTCACCTTGTTTTCAGTTTTCAACTCTCCCAACAAAACCCATAACGTCTGCTCTTCAATTTAAAATCTTTCTTAATTTAAGCTCATCTTTGTTGCCTCCCTCACTTTTATTATTATTTTTAAATTATGATATTTATGTGAGTTTTTTTAGACTAAAATACAAAATTAGATATTTTTATTTAACTTGGATCGAGTCAGTGAATTTTTGAAGAACGAGGGAGGGGTAGAGAAAAATTGGGTCAAAGGTCCCGAGTATATTTCATGTCCTCGATCCCACTTCGCCCAGCTAAATTTCCGTCCGATCTCAATATAAATAAATAAAACTTTAAGGGTTAAAATATGAAATATTGAAATTATTTAAATATTATTTCTTTTTATAAGATATTATCAAATTTGTTGTTCTTTTTATATTTTTTAAAGTATAAATTATGTTGGAAAATATAAATTATTTTTTAAAAAATCTTTAAAATAAAATAATGATATATATAATGGAAACAAATTATGTGACCGAGTTTCCCATTTCTACCAAATTATTATTATTATTATTGTGTGGATAATTCATGTTTTAATGAGATTCTCTTTATTTCTTTTTCATTTAAATTATTTATTTAAATCAAATTTGTAACCATATATTTTATTTTTCACCAAAAAAAGGATAAAGAATAAATTAATTTAAATAAAATTAAAATTTCAGTAATATGAAATATCTTAGTGCATATGAATGGTTGACATTTGTCGAATTTACATGAGTTGACTAAGAAATTACAATTTTATGAGTTCAATAATTAATATACTTTATTAAGGTTGGTCATTAATTTGAGATTAACATATAATTCCCTAATTAATCCTCTATCATTAATGTAGACTAATCTTAATATTCCCTTTTCCCACGTGTAAATGAAGAAAAAAATGGTATGTTTTAATCGAATTAAGATGAACACGAAACAATCAACACGTAACCTTCTTGCAAAAAAATTAAAAGAAACTTAGTTAAGGGTGCAACTCTTTGACTCGACTTCTCTTCAGTCTCCCTCGATTTTCCTTTTTTGATTAACAGTGTGTTTCAATCACGAGTTTCTATGGTTTTTTGACGTGAGTTTGGTTTAAGTCGTAGTTCAATGGTCGGTTTAAGTAGGGGCGTTCGTGGGCTGACTTAGATCGAGTTGGAACATTTTTTTAGATCTAATCTAGTTGTTTAAGTTGTAAATTTTTTTAATTTCAAATAATTGTTATTAAACAATGAATCAACTTAACCCAATTATAAATTTTTTGGGTTGGGTTGGTTTAGTTTAATCGAGTCAATTTATTTAATTTTTTATTTTTAATAAAAATAAAATGTTATTTATTTTAAATATTTAATTAAGATTTATAACTTAAAAATTACCTTGTAAATTCTAAAAATAATTATGAAATTAAATAAAAATAAATAAATAAATATATATATATATATATATCATTGTAATGTATGAAAAAAACGTAATTAAATATAAATTATGATTGATTTGGTTAGCTCAGTCTAATTTTCGGAGAACCACCTGAATCAATGTAATTTTCATTTATGTGAATTTAACCCAACTTAACCTATATCGGTTAGGTTAGGTTGAGTTGATCGAGTTTTTTGAGTCATCAAATTTTTTCTAGCTACGTTATTTATTTATTTTATGCCACCTAAGTTTCAAATTTTGTTTTTAATATCACGAAGTTATTATGTTCTAAATAATCACACTTATTTCATTTGATATTCAGCTTGAATCCAAAAGCTAATGTCGTGCACATTTTTAGTAGCGGTTGTTTAATGTCCAATTATTAAAAAATAGACGCTATTTTAATTAAATTACAAGTTTAGTCTCTTTACGTTCTTAAAAACTTTTATAACTATTCTAATAGGATTTTGACGTAATCATACATATCTTCAAATAAAAATAATAAACATACTAAATCAATTAATTTTTAAAATTTTTAAATATGTCAAAAATTTATTCGATGAAAAAAAAAATCAACCGTCATATTTATTTAATTTATTTAAGAAAATGATTAAAGAAGATACGTTAATTTAATTATTATATATTTAATTTAAAGATTAGAGGTTTGAATTTTTACGCTCTTTAAAATTTAATTTAATTTATACAGAATAAAATAAATATGTAAATAGTTAAAAAAAAAATAATAATAATAAAACTAATATTTTCTCTACTTTAGGTAAGTTGGGCGTACGTGTCATTTTAAAATGAGGGACTTGAAATTCTGTTGTAAATTTGGTTAAATGCGTAGCCAAACAGCCCCTAAAAAGCGCTAAACGACGGCGTATTGGGTGCTTCACGTGACGTCTTTTTCTTCCCGGAGAAAAAATGGCCAAAATTAAAAAAAGTTCAATTTTTTTTTAAAACAAATAAATATAAATAAATAAATAAAAATAAAATTTCGCAGTACCGCCATTGATGTATATATAAGAAGCTCACAGAGCTGTTCTTCGTCGTCTTTGAATCTTGAATTTTGCCTTGCGCGGCATAACCCTATCGATGGATTCTATGGCTGCGCTGACTCTACCGTCTTATTCTTTTTCGTCGTTGTCGTCTTTGTTCTCCGTCGCTTCTTTCGACCATGGAGCTTTTGTTTCGAATGATTCTCGCATTCGAATGTGTTCCACTGGCGGAGTTGTATGATTCCTCTTTCTTTGAATACGTGTTTTCTTTGTTTTGGAGATGAGTTTAATTGTTTTTGTTGTTCTGATGGCTCCGACTTTGTGTGTTTGATGATGCAATGACGATGATTCGTTATGTTTCGCTGTTTCTTGTTCTTTTTGAAATTTCGGATTCCGTTGCTGTTCTGTTTGGTTTATTTTGCTCGCGAGAGGATTTTTGTGTTGAAGATAAATTAAAAAAAAAAAACGAGATAGAACAGTTTTTTTAAGTGTTGAATGTACTGTTGCTACAATTTTAGCGTCACGTGAAGCTTTGGGGGTGTTTTCATTTCCCTCGTTGTTTCTAATAATTGTGCTGCTATATTATGTACCTTTTCTGACCACACATATAATGTGTTTCTGGTAAAAGGTGTCTCTATCAATGTTCTATTGCATTAATTCTTGTGTTTCTGATTTTCTTTTGAAACTAAAATTGAATTCTTCCAGAGATGTGATCTATCCGAGTCTTTGAAGCATGTGAACGGGAAGCCTACAATTCCAATTGTTACTGAACGGACGCTGCCCAAGTTCATGGAGTCAGCTCGCATGGAGAAAATAGTTAATAGGAGTAGTACGCGCTTGAAATTGTTTTCTGGGTCTGCAAATCGTTTACTCTCACAGGTTAAGCTCTTCTGTTGTACTCATGAAACGCTTTTTAGTTTTTACTCTACACAGGAATGAAATTTTTGTTTGTATTTGAACTTTTCAAATGAATGTTCAGAAATCACTATCGAGGTGGCATGATCTGTGTTGGGTTTTTTCTTGATAGTTTATTCTGATTATTTTTTTCCTGCCTTTGTGTGGAGGGGGTTTGAAGGTTTTAAATAATGATTTCTTGGTCAACGGCAGGTCACCCTGCTCATCTTGTTTGCCGATCAAATGATTTTTTTTTCCCCCTAACTTCATTGTAATATTTTGATTTTCATTCTATATTTCAAATATTTTTTTACTTTTACTCTTTATTAGTTTGGATATGACTGATTTTTACACTTGATGTTGCTCATTTAGATCTATCAATACATGTTCATAATGGCGAAAAATATTACGAGTTCAGTTTATGCGCCAACCATTTTTTTTTTTCTGGATGATTTGGTTGAACTTGTGGGAAAGTGGAATAATAATATGTTTTTTTGTGTTCATCCTTATGGAGGATCGATGGTGACTGAACTTGTCATGTTCAATTAAAGTGACTGACAAGGCTGAATGGTTTTGGACATCAATCTGGCTCAGCATGCAAATATAAATCTTTCTTTCTCTCTGGAGACTTATCTTTGTTTGCTAAATTTGAGTTATTTAGTTCTCAGGAAATTGCCTGTTACATGGGGCTGGAGCTTGGAAAGATTAACATTAAGCGTTTTGCGGATGGCGAAATATATGTTCAATTGCAAGAGAGTGTTAGAGGATGTGATGTATTCCTAGTACAGCCCACCTGTCCCCCAGCTAATGAGAATCTTATGGAGCTTTTAATTATGATAGATGCTTGTAGGAGAGCCTCAGCCAAAAATATTACGGCTGTGATTCCATATTTTGGATATGCTAGAGCTGATAGAAAGGTAATATTTTCAGTTGTATATTTTTACAATTCATGTTTAAGTATGCTTGAAAGTGCTAATTCTTAAAAGCACGATGAATCCGAGTTTGATGTATTTTGTTAA